TTACAATCCACTTTAAAATAATTTCTAAAATTTTCTAAAATAGTTTCATAAGCTGTTCTATAAAGATTAACCTCTGAAAAACAAAGTATTTATGACTTTCAGAATAAAATGGAACTTTGTGTCTTTGATTATATTAGCCACCAAGTAAATTACCCAAAGAGGATAGGAGGTGTACAATTTTTAGAAACACAATAGCTTGTCAGTGTTTAAATTTTGATGGGTCACCACCAATTAAATCAGGCTAAGTCCTATTTGATTAGAAAGAACTCCAAAATATTTTAAACCATAACCTTCTCTGAAGTAACAGCCCTAGAAACCTGAATGTACAATTCCATAATTAGTGGAATATGGATGTTGGTTGTGTGCACACCATACACTATGGTGCTTTATTTTTTCCTAAGAAACAAAATCATGTATATTAAAAGCAGTTTCAACTTTGGCTATATTATGTAACTGCCATTTCACCTCAGTTACTGAAGAATTTTTGGAAAATATTTTTGATTTTCAAAAGCTTTTGAAAGACTGCACTTACCAAGTTCTAAGTAAAATCCAACTCATTTTCAAAGCATGATTAAACAATCATTAGGTCAAAATGGCATGTTCCCCTCCCTCACAAAACAATCTCATTCTTTTTTCAGGTATCAGTAAATATCAACAGGATTAAGGCATAATTGCCTTCTCAGAAACAATTTACTAAAAATACAGCCAAAAAGCCAAAAATAAAACCTCTCCTTTTCAAAAAAGAATATTCCAGACACACACACATTTAATTAAAAAGTTTCTTTCTTAAAGATAATGGAGATGTTTTCTTGTTGCCAAATAAAAAATACGTTGTTATTATTTCGTATTCACCTTTTAGTTGGTTTTTACTTTAAGTATTATATTGTTGAATAAAATATTCTTCAGTTAAACCTAAGAAATTTGTTATTCATTCTCGTTTTAGATATTAAAATGTATGGGGGAAGGGAAAGTGTGGAAAATATAGAATAACTTGTTGAGAATTTGATCGGTTTTCAATTAAGGAATTTCATAAAGATATCTTGTTGCTGTTCTTAAATTAATTCTGCATCAGAAGCCAAGTGATTTTTTTTTTTTGGTCTTGAATAGTAATGACACAGATTTTCTTTACCAATAATGTATATATTAACTACATTTAATATATCAGATACATTTCATTTCTGTATTTAAAGAAAACTTTAGTGCCTGTTAATGCTTAATTACATCAGTAACAATTCTGCCGGAGTAATGAATTTATCATTTATTTTCACAATAGAAAAAAATCAGTTTATTTGTGAAACCGCTATTTTGAACAAAATACATGAAAAAACCTAGTAATTTTCTTTTGACATAATAAATGAAACTACTGCTTTTTGCTCTCAATAATGTAGCAGACACGAATCTGTTGACATTCAGTGTCTTTTCACCTGTTTTTCCTCTCGCGTTAATACTCCCTAGCTTTAAGGATTTTTTTCTCTCAAAAAAAATTGTTTTCACAATCTAGGGAAATGTCTCCATATACTCTCAGTAGCTACTGAATATTGAAAAGTTCTACAACAAACGAGGTTACTTTACTGAGTCATTTCAGAGCTTCAGTAAATTAATGCGGTGCTCTCGGGATGGCTTTAAGTTTTAAAATTCTTTAAAAATCGCAGATATGAGTTATCCTTTACCCACACAGCACCTCACACATGTCCGCGTAAGGGTAAACTTTTCACGACTGGAGTCGGAGCATAGAATACACACTATGGGTAAAAAACACGAAGATTTCGTTGAGCACTCCGCGAAAAAAAAATGTTGACATCTTAACATTGCTAAATGTTCTGAAGTTGCTAAATCTCCTTAAATTGCTTCACTTGTGTCACGAACATCAAAACCAAACCAGACAAACCTCTCTTCCCGGGGCAGAGGGACGAGCTGAGGACGCTTCTGCCCATTAACAGGTGGCCGGCCCGGAGGGGCCTTCGGCATTCCGCGCCGCCGCAGCGGTCGCAGCCACCACCGCCTCCCGGAGATGCTCCGCTGGCGAGGGCGCCCTCACCTCACTGCACCTGGGGCCGCCCCCACCGCGGCCACGCACTCACCCCGCTCCCCCAAGCTTCCGCGTCCTAAGGGCCTGCGGTGCCCCAGCGCCTTCATGGCTCCTGGTTTCCACCCGGCATCACGGGGCCTCGGCACAGGCGGGGAGGCCCTGGGAAAAGCACGTGCCTCTTTTCGAAGCTTCGTCCCCCGGGCGGGAACTCCCGCCGGGCCTCCGAGCGCCTGGCCACCCGTTCCCGTCTGCCGAAGTACGCAGGCGCCGAAGCTTCTAGACGCCGAGTGGCCGGGCCGTGGGGACGCGGACCTACCCACCAGCAACCACCGCCCGAAGTGTGAAGTTCTGGAGCGTCCCAGGCCAAGCGGGACAAACTAACAAATGCGACGAAACTGAGGCCCAGGGGTTTGAGTACCTTGCTCCGGAGGCCACACAGTTGTCCGAGCAGGCGCAAAGCCGGGTCTCCTGGTTTCTTTCCACCGAACAGCCAAGAGGACCGGTAGGCGCCCCCCCCCCCTCCAGAACCCGCCTTAGAGCGCGGGTGGGGGCAGCCTAGCACCTGGGCCTCTAGCGGCACTGGCAGCTGCTGCGTGAGCCGGGGCGGCCCGGGGCGGAACGGGCAGGGTCGGCTGTGGAGAGCGCCTGGGAAGCCCTCCAGCAGTGGTGCCCAGGCCCGTGCAGCGCGGACTGCAAGCCTCTTGGCTCCGGCCACCCTCCCAGCCTCTCCGGCACGTGCGGGCCCCGCACCCGAGGGGCCACGGCGGTCCCCTGGCGGTTCGGCCTTGGCTCCGCCTTTAACTGGAGGCTCTGCCCAAGGCGGAGCCCGCGCGGGGGCGGCTCAGCCCTGCTCAAGGGGTCTTCCTGCGGGGGCGGCGCCGGCTGGCCGGGTTCAGCCGGGCTGGGGTTGCGCCCTCCCGCGGGCCTTGGCTGAGTCGGGGATAATGGGTTTGCTGGAGTAGGAAGGCGCAATGCGCCTGAGCCGGGCCTACGGAGTCCAGGGGGCGAGGACGCGGCCGAAAAGGCTTTTCTACCTCCGGAGCTCACAGCCCTAAGACCTTGCTCCGCGCGGGACCCCGAGGGAGGGGTCGTTCTCCAAACCCGGCCTCACGCTGGGTTCTCACGTCTCACACGGGATAAAAAGAATAGGGTGTGTTGGTCACTTCGCAGGAAACTTTTCGTTGTTTCCTTATTTCCTTCCCGCCCGTGGACAAGTTGAGCAGCTTCTCGGCCTTACACCCTGGAGATTTCAGGCCAAACAATCTGGACAGCTCCGGCTCTGGGTTTTCTGGAGGAATCGATCCACCCCTTTCCCACCTCTTTCCTAGTCTCTCAGGGCAAGATGGAACCGTCCTTTGCGACCCCCCGCTTCAAGTGGGGAGTCTTCTTCCCCTGCCAAAGTGAAACGCGTCCTTGTCGACTTTTCTAGATTTTATGTTTGCGTTTTAAAGAAACTTCACAATACGCAAAAGATAACTTGGCTACTTCTGGCAAGGGCCTGAGGGTTTAGAGGGACATCTTAGCACGTGGAAGAAATGACTCGGGTCCCCTAGCCGCCGTGAAGCCACCCGGGACAGCTCAGCAGAAAGGAAGGTTGTCTGCTGCCAAAATTCAGGACACGGATCGGTTTTTTGTCGTTTTGTTTTCTTTTCCTTTTTGGCTCAGCTCTGAAAGCATTACAGAGCTATCCTTTCCCGCCTCCGACCCTCTTCCCCTCCCCCTCTTCTGTCTGGTGCAGGCAATTAGGGTGAAGAAATCAGTGCCAGGTTCCTGCCTCTGAAGAGAAAGGAATTGCTTCGGGAATTGAGTCCTGACACCTGTCTCTGTCCTGGATGGCGAGAGGGGATGCGGGGTCAAAACGCCTGGGGGAAGAGGCCAAGCTGACCGGGAGGGCGGGACACTCCCTAAGAGAACGTTCTCTGGAGACTCCTCTTGCCACGTCCTCCCTCCTTATCGTTTGGCCTCCTGCTTCACACAGGTCATTAACACTCGGGGGTATTAACACGGGAGTTTCCCTCCTTTTAGGCTCCCCGAGACCAGGACCTGGGGCTGGAATCAGAAGAGCGACACTGACAAGCCGTTGGTTAATTTGCATTTATTTTCGGGAAATAATGTAGATAAAGGGGGGGAGGGGACTGCCTTACATTTCAACAAGTAATTTGTGATCTTCACATCGGACAAATCAAATTTACAAATTACTTTCCCACCTACTGGACGAAAAGGCCAAAGCCAAAACTGATACACGGGAGCGGGCTCTCCGCAGATTTCGGAGAATGAAGGTGCACTAAAAACTCACTAGACACAACAGGGTTGCTTAAAGAGAGAGAAGCTGACACAGGAATTGGAACTAGGGTTTGGGGCCTGGATCGGTTTGTTTGTTTTTCCATAATGCCGTATTTTTGTTTGTTTTTTTGTTTTCTTTTGTGATTGGTCTCTAAACCGGAACTGCGACTCTCTGCATCGACCTGGTGAAGGGATCAGTCCTGCGTCCCCGCCCAGCCTAGCCCCCCTCCCCTGTACCCTGACTTGGCTGTTTCCTCCACACTCTCGGACCCTCCCGACCCTCCGCGCCCAGCTTCCGGGAACCAAAAAGGTTCATTTTAATAAATACACAGAGGAGGAGGTGTGAGAGGGCAGGTCAGCTTTGCAACAACTGAAAAAATAAAAGCGCCATCGTTAAGGAAGAGAGGAAGGGGGACAGAGGGAAAATATTTTTTGCTTTTGTTTTATATATATGTGTGTATATATATGTATATATATGCTGTATATATCTTAAAGTTCTATTTCCTGGGCGCTAAGACGAGATATGTTCAGTTCAACCAACAGCAACTAAAAAGTTTAAGTGGTCCCTGGAACGGACCCGACTATGTACAGCATTCCCGCCGAGGCGGAAGCTTGAGCCAGTTCTACGCAGGGCGGGGCTGTGCGCGAGAGGCTAGGGGCGCTCCTCCCTCGGGCCCTGTCCCAGCGCACCCCGCTGGGGAGGAGAAAGCGCCGGGAAGGTCTGGCCTGCAGGCGGGGAGCGGGGCCGAGGGCAGCTGAAGTCTGCAAGCGGGAAACAGTGGTTGTTTTGATTTGGGGTGGAGTGTGGGTACACTCCAATGGGCAGACACATGCCAGTTAGTGATTCCAGTGTCCAGAAAGAATAAATAAAAGTGTAGGGCTCAAACAGCGAGTTAGAGCAAAGAGCCTCCGAAGGCTGCAAGTGCGTAACAACTGCCCAGAAAGAAAGACTGGAGGAGAGTGGCTTAGGAGTTCGTTCGGAGTTGAGGAGGAGAGCACCCAGCTCTCCCCATATAGGACTTGCGGGCCAAGCCGAGGCACCGGCCCCCTCATCCAAGGGGTGGGCGGGTCTGCACATCCCCCAAAAAAGTGGCAGGATGAGGGCGGCAGTGCAGGCAAAGGGCATCTTTTAGGGGCATGAAAATTCAGGTCTGCAGAAGCCGAGGCAAAGGCGGGCGGTACAGCAGCAGCAACAGGACGGGGACCACGGAGGGCGCAGGTAGTTGCGTTTCTTCTCCTCTTCCTTCCATTCCTGGGCTCACAAGACCTGGAACCGCCACGAGGCTTGGTCCTTATAGTCCAGACAGTCGGGCGAATTGAAGTTGAGTTTCCAAGCAGAGGAAGCAGCGGCGGCGCCAGGCTCCTTGTAATCCAAGCAGTCGGCAGAGTTGAAGGCGAGCCCTGAGCCGCCGTAACCCTGGTGGTGATGGTGATGATGGTGGTGATGGTGGCCTGAGGACTGGCTCAACGGGTGGTGCGCATGCGGGTGGTGGTGATGGTGGCCGGCCATCGAGGAAGGTGCCATAGGGCTGAGCTGGTGCGGGTGATGATGCGAGTGCATGGGCGCTAGATAGGAGCTGCAGTCCACACCGCCAAAGTAGGAAGAGGAGGGCGCGGGGTAGCCCTGCCCGTAACTGCCGCCCTGGCTGTAGGACATGGGGTAAGAGGCTGCGGCCGAGGCGGCGCCTGCGGCAACCGAGCGCTGCATGCACGAGGCGTTGCTAGGCGCGGCCAGTGGCTCGGGCACTGACACCGACGCGGGCGCTGAGCCTGGCGAGATGGAGGCCGGACTCCAGATGGATGAGGCAGCCGGCGTACTCAATGACGACGGGACTGCCACCGCCGGGTTCCCGCCCAGGCCTGCAGCCGCTGCCGCCGCTGGGTTGGCAGAGGCGCTGGATCCCGAGCTAGAGGACGAGGCGGAGCTGGACACAGCGGGCGGCGTGAACTGGCCGCTGCTTTCCGAGCCCGAGCTCTCCCGCACCGGAGACGACTTTTTCTTGGCTGGGCGGCTCTTGGTCCCGCTCCCGCTCTGCTGCTGCTGGCGGCATTTGGCACGGCGATTCTTGAACCAGACCTGCAGTGGGCGAACGGGGAAGAGAGTGTCAGGGGGCGAGTTGAGCTTGCTGCTCCCCCGCCTTTTGTACCCACTACCCGTCCTAGGGTCTCTCATCTCTCTCCTACCGAGACCTCCGCCCCTCCCCATCTCCGGCCAGCCCAGCCCACGTCCTTGGTCCCAGCTACCCCACCCTCCCCACCAAAGATCCTCCTCTGGCCAAGTAGGGATGTGCACCTCCCCTCCCCCAGCGCAACTCTGCCTTAGGGCGGAACATTTGCTTCCGTCCAGCCAGAAGTTCAGCCATCTCTAAACTGCTGCCGTTGGCTGCTTCCCAACAACCTCGTGTACGTTTGGAGGCCCTGTCTTCTAGGACTAGAGCTGACGAAACTGTGGAGAGGAACGAAGGAGACCGCAGAGCACAGGACGGTCACCAAGTCAGAGTCGGCCCCTGGAGGCCTAGCGCTGGGCAAGGCCAGGAGGCCGAACAGAGGCAGTACACTCGGGGTACTAGGGAAGGAAGCCTGAGCAGAATTTCGTTGGGCTTCTTGGCTCCAAGTGGGAAATCAAATGGGGCAAAGTTCTCACTCCTCCTGGAGGACCCCAGTACATGGCAGAACATTCCTGTTTTTTTCTCGAGCCTCGGGAGAAGAAGACGAGATAAAAGGCTCTCGAGAAGAGTTCTGAGTTATAATCCAAACAGTATTTTTATCGCAAAAACTAGAAACAGCAAAGCCGGTAGCAGGGTTTTGCGTTCGGCATCCTCTCTGGGCAAAGGAAGAATCTAATCACACCGGCGCCACCCATGGAGTGCACTCGGACAGGGCACCGGGCTCTGGCCAAGCTCCACTCTTCATTTCCAGGATCTCCGGGATGCAGGGCAAAAGCAGAGGCAGGATTCAAGACCCCGAAGGAAGCTGACAAATCCTGGAATGGCCGAAGAAGCAGGGGCAAGTGTCGGGCCCTCTAGGCACTTTACTTTCAGGAGCCTTGCTTGTTCTCCCTAAATTCTTAAAAGGACTTTCAATACCGAAGGCGCCCTGGGACCAAGAGCCGAATCCAGTTACAAAGCTAGTTACTTTAACTTTGCCCCTCTCCCAGGCCCAGGCTGAGCGCTAGGGGGAGTCTGAGAGGGGCTGCCCAGTCGGTAGGCCCGCCCCACACCAGACCACCCTTCCCTGGCCCTCCCCAACCATACCCAGGGCCCCTACCCTGAACCTGTAGCCCTGGGCACGCGCACCTGGACTCTGGACTCCGGCAGATTGATCTTGAGCGCCACCTCCTCGCGCATGAAGATGTCAGGGTAGCGAGTCTTGGCGAAGAGCGCCTCGAGCACGTCCAGCTGCGAGCGTGTAAAGGTGGTGCGCTCCCGCCGCTGCTTCCGCGGGGTGGCTGAGGGGACACGCGGGGGCGCCTCGGGTCAGCGGTGGCCACGCGGACCCCCGCTAGAGGACGCAGACAGGCCCCCGGCAGGCCCTGTGCGAGGCCGTTGTGAAAGACAGCCGAGCTCCAAGCGAAAGAAAACTCCCCCGGAAGGCCGAGCCTGAGAGGCCACAGGTGGGAGAAAGTGCATGTGTGCGACTGGGAACCAGTGTCTTCCAGACTTTAGAGTTGCCCCTTTCCCTGCCTCTCGGAGGTTAAGAAAGGAAAAGAAGTTATACAATCTCCCTTCTTTTCTTTCACCACCCCCCACCCCAACTCATCGACCGGCTGGAGCATGGGTAAGGGGTGCACAGAAAAACCACCTGGAAAACACTTTCTGAAGGAATAAATGAAGGTGAAAGAGTAGGAGCTAGGGGGAAAAAAAGCCACAATTCGTCTCAAGCCTTCCACATTTGGAGTGCAAAAGTTGGTGCAGACCAACAATGGAGAGGACAGTTTAATTAGGGAGGAAGAATCCCTCTTCTTCATCTCTTGGCCCTTCCTGTCAGGGCCTAGAGAGTATCCAGATTCCTCATTCAATATTGAGGGAAAGGAACAGACACACACACTCCAAAAATGCCACCCACGAGAAACGAATCCATGGGTAAATGCACTCTGTGCTGCTGGTGGGACCACAGCAAGAGACAGGTTACCGTGTGGTCAGGCTGGGAAGGCATACCTTGCACAACTTCACTGGCCTGGCCCAAGTCACCCACCAGCGGCTGCCCCCTGAGCCTGCGAAGTGCAGTGCATTGTAGGCAGACTAGCCAGCTGGCTCCCTGGGCCCGCTCAGCCACAAAGTGCATGCCCAAACTTGAGAGTCTGGGGTCCCCAAAAATTGCAGGGCCTGGGGACAGGGACCAGTGCTCACCCGGGTAGCCCACGGAAGGATGTAGGAGGTCCATGGCTGGCCCAGCCAGGCCCAGTCCGTTCATTCCATATGGGGGTTGTTTGAGGTAAGACATCATGCTAACAGCCGGGTGGAGGCGCCCGGACGGATCCAGGGGGCCGGGGCCAGGCGCAGTGCGGGGCTCCCACTGCGCAGTCCTTCAAGCTCTGTTCCTTCCGGGGGCCTGGCCTATGGAGACAGGAGACACATGTAAACAGTGATTGGGAGCCATCTCGGCTACCTGGTCTCGTCTGGGATGGGGAGAAACGCAGGCTTATGGAACTTAGCAGGGCGGTCAATTCGGCTCTACAAGGCCTTAACCCAAAGACCACAGCTTCTTTTGAAAAGTAAGCTTTTCTGGATCATCACTGCCTCTTTTCAGGCTTGGAATGGGTAAAAGACACTCGTAGGGCGTCGCTAGGTGTGAGGAGAGGTTAAAAGCAGGGCCAAGCGGGAAAGGTGGGAGCCTGAAAGGTGGAGTGCACAAGGTCCCAAGTCTAGGCAAAATTCTGGTCTGCTAGGAGTCGGCCTCAACACTGCAAAAGCAAACGTTTACTCGGGCCAGTGAGGCAGCCTGCCCAGGGCATAAGGGGTTGTTTCGTTTTGTTTGAAAGCCGGAGGAAAAGGTAGAGACTCCAGAGAGCTAAGATAAAGCACTGCGGGGGTCTAGCAGCACCTGGGCCTCTCTGGGACGCACTGCCTACTTAGGAGAGCACATTCCTTCCCATGTCTCCGCCACTGGGTCTGGGCCCCAGAGACCACAGCCACCCCTCCAGTTAACTTTCTCAGTGCCCAGCAGCTGAAAGATTGCTCACCGGGAATCCCACCACACCTGAACCGCAGTTACAGGCCCTGGGCCCGCAGAGGCGGACAGAAGACGCAGAAGGGGCCACGGTAGAGGCGGCGGCTCTAAGATGCCGCGGGAGGTCAGGGGCGCCTCGCCACGGCCGCGCAAGCCCTTCTTCGCGAACGTGAGCGGGTCCTTCTTTCTGCAGGGTCCTGGTTGCGGACAATGTCGTCCCGGCGGAGGCTGAAAGGTGACCCGCCCAGCGCCCCAAAGGGTCTCACGGATTTGGGAGGCCTGAGTGCAGCGTTCCCGTGTGCTCCCTTCCTATCCTACTAGATGAACCCGCAGCCCCAAGACCCTATGGAGACTAGACAACTAGGCCTCGGCGGCGTAGCTCACGCTGACCGGGACTGGAAGGTCGAAGCCTCGCTTCCCCGGCTGCCTCCAATCTGAGGCATTATTTTCAGGGATAGAAAGTGGAGCTGGGGAAGTGAGGCCGGGGCCCCAGGGGACCTGTCGCTTCACCCCGCGTCGCGGGAATTCAAAGCAGGCCCGGGGCCCGGGCTAGGGAGTTCAGGGAGAGCAGTTAGAGCTAAAGAAGTCTCCAGCTCCAATCCTCCAGGACTTAGGGTCTGGGCTGGGGCAATAGAGCTTGCAGGGAAGGGGACGAAAAGGAAGCAGCCGGGGCTTTAGAGCCGAAAGAGAATAGGACGTCAAGCCGTGGCGCCTCTGCTAGGCTGCAGCGTGAGTTTCCAAAGACTTTCTTCAAACTTAGCACTTGGGCTCGGTTACTTCGGAGGAGGCGGGGGAGGGGGCGCGGGGCCGAAGCAGAGATCTGGGGTCTTCCGCGCACCCAGAGGGAAGCGAGGCCGCCCCCCAGCCCCGCCCACCTGCTGGGGACCTGGGAAGCCGCGGCCCATGTGAGGAAGGAGAGATAAGAACGACCAACGCGCTCCCGGAGTCCAGGGCGGCCCCGCGGCGTTCTCCTTACCTGCCCTCAGCTGCCGGGGCCGCTCACCATCTATCTCGCGCCCTCACACAGACCCGAGGGACAGCCAACCTGCAAAACAGAGCGGCACAGGAATTACTCGCCGGGCCGGACGGTTGGTCTAGGATCCCCGGATTTCTTTCTTTCCCCAACTTCCCTCCCTCCTCTCTTTCTTTCCAGTGGCTTTGTGCGTGTCCCTCCAGGTTTCACTTTATTGCACAGACACTTTGTTTGCAAAGCCCTACGCGTTCCCGAGACACTACCTCGCCCGGGACCGCGCCGAGGGGCCGCAAAGGTTGGGTGGGGGTGAAAGGGGCAGAGTTGGGAGGTGGCTCGCGGTTGCAGTTGCATTCCCGATACAACGTGGAGGCGGTGGGGGCTAGGGAAGTCCTGCAGAGGCACTTTGCAAACTAAATAAATCAAGCGATTTACCTTGTCGGAGTGGCTTGTCTTGCCGGGTTGTTTAGGTGATTGGAAATGTAGCCTGATGAAGATTGATCACCTTTCTACTGCCCTCCCCGGGTATGTGAACGCGAGGTGAGTGCGTAACGGGGCTATGCTGCCAATCCCCGGCCCCGCGCGGGCTGAGTGACAGGGAGCCGGGCAATGGCAGCACGAGCCGGGGGTTACCTCCGCGCGCCCCCGCCCTCCTCCGCCCCCTGCACCCCGCCCTCACCGCTCGCCCGCCCCGCCCCGGTCGCGCGCTAACTCCAGGGCTTGGCTGACAAACGCCGCGCAGAGCGAGGCGAAGACAGCGAACGCAGCGCCAGAGCCCAGTCCGCAGAGGGGAAAGCCAGTCCCGAGGCCGTCCCGGGGTCCCCGCCCTTCCCTCGCCCTTTCGGCGCCCGTGAAGGAGTGGCAGAGAGGAGACGAGGTGCCGGAAAACCGGTTCCCTCGCTCCCCTGTGCGCCACTCGGCTGGGCGGCCCGGCTGTGGGCTCGAGGACTTCGGAGCCGCGGGCTGGAGTGGAGGGGGCCCCCGGCCCCTCTCGCGGCGCCCCGGGCCCCAGCGTCTTCTTTCACCGCGCCACCACCTGCAGACGGACGCCGCGGGCGGCTCGTGCTGGCACAGGCTACTTTGTCGAGCGCAGGAGCGGCTCTGCGTGCGCAGATCCCGCCTCGGCGCCTCGGGACTCCCGCGCCCGGGAACAGCACCCGCCGGGGAGGCACAGCCACATACCTGCTCCTCTGCGTCTCTTGGGGTTCACAGTCCCCACGAAGGGTGTTTGCAAATCTTAAACGCTTCTTCTCAAATGTTGGAGCTCAGCGTCTCCTATCCCTCACACACACTCTTCTTCTGAATCTAAAGATTTTAATGGGAAACTTTCTCTTTCACGCTCAGTCTCTGTCTCCTTCCCGGGCTCCTTCTACCAGGGACAATCTGGCGGAAAACGTGGCCACAGACCCCTGCCCTCAAGTTCTTTCTCACACACTGCGGAAGGAGCCTTCTTGGGGGCAATTTCCCCGGATTGTTCGTACTGGCGAAGCCCATTTCCCAGCCGAACAAACTTCTCAACCCCGTGTACCTGGTGGACTTTTCAAAGAGCCAAAAATAAAAATCTAAAAAGAAAATGTTTTCGCCCCAACCCTGAGCAAGGCGATTCTTGTAAATGGCACCTCCTTCTGAATATTAGGCACCACTTTACTCCCTTTCGAGGAATTCCTACCCCTTTTTCCTAATCCCCCCTCCCCTCCATCCCAACGGGCGGAGTGAAAAGTTTGAACAGGAATAAGTGTGAGGGCGAGTCAAGGAGCCGCCAAGCGCAGCGCGGTGGGGAGCGCCAGCGCTGCCGGGGCCGCGAGGTCGGGCACCTAGAGCGGACTGGGTTCTGGACAAGGAGGAGGAGGAGAAGGAAGGGGGAGCCCGCTGAGTGAAAAGGGGCCGCGGCCGCCGCTCATCAAAGTGCTTCCCCCTCCCCCAAGCGACACTTTCCTTTGGAGTCCGAATAAAATACGGTAACAGAATATGATGGAGGGCACACTGTTTCCTTAACTGCTTCTCAAAGGACCCGGGAGATCTTCTTAGGACCTTTAATAAGGCTTTGGTCGGTTCTTTTGTTGATCTCTCAAAATCAACTCCTTCTAATTGAAGTTGGAGCTGAAAGCGAGCTAATGTTCAAAGAAAGTGGCCGCCAGACCAACGAAATTACATTTTTTTTTTTGGACGATGAGGGAACATCTAATCAAAGGGGCAAAGGAGGAGGGGTGGGAGTGGGGGAGTATGAAGGAGAAAAGGAGGTTTTACAAGGTCCTTCTCTGGTTCACAAAAGTCAGCGACACGGGTGCTTCTCTCCAGAACAAAGACACCGCAGCCCATTCACAAAAGGGAAAGAAAGACAGAGAGAGAGAGAGAGAAAACAATAAAAGAACGAGAGAAAAGGGAAAAACATGAGAAAGAAAAAGCTTTAACAGGAAAAGAAACTGCGCAGAGCGCAGCGCTGACCCGGGCGAGGACACAACTTAGGCTCTCGCAGAGGCCCCCGCGGGGAGTAGCCCGCGAGGCCCGCGGCTCAGAGCCCCTGCGACGGTGCAGAGGTTTAAAGAAAGAAATGGAATACACCCCGCCTCCAGTTCTGGGGAAAGGCGAGGGCAGGAGGGTACTAGTTTTTGGGGGAAGACTATGCGGGCGCCCGGGAGTGCTCTGCGGCAGCGTCTGCGTCCCCAGACCGCGCAGCCCAACCCAGGCCTGCGCGCTCTGTGCCTGGGTGTAGCCCTCTGCTGCCGGGGTGCATGCCCTAATCCCAGCCCCGCAACCTCTCGCAGTCCTGCCTGCTGCGGGCCCTATTTCACCTGCAGCTGCAGCGCCGGGCCGAGGTCCGGCGCTGCAAGGTGGGGCCGCTGTGCGCGCTGGAATGTGCTCAGAGGGTCCCCAGGGCCCGCCACGCGGGAGTCCGGCGCTCTCGCTTCCAGATGCTGCCACGGTCTCGGGGAAGTTGGGAGGTATCAAGTAGCACAGCCCCCCCCCCCCCCCGCATGAAAGTATTTATCTAATCCTAAATTGCAGGCGAATTTTCTTAATGCTCAACCCATAAAACCCCAGGATTAAGAAAAGAAAGAGAGGAAGAGGGAGGAGTGTAGAGAGGAAGAGAGACTGAGATGAAAGTTTCTTGTACGCGGCGTGGAGGACTGAGGCGGACGTCGCTAGGCAAATGTCCAGGTGGGAGACGCTGGGCCAGAAGCCGCGACTGTTCCAACAACGGCCGCAGGGCAGGGAGGGGGAAGTGGGGGCCTCACCGAGGGAGAGCACGTCCACCCAGCTCCAGGCCCCCAAGCCGGGGAGGAGGGCGTGGGAGCTGGGCCCTGGG